CCACAGTGTGGAAAATAAATTCCCATAATTATACTGTAATTTTTTTATAATGTAAATATACATACATGATTAATGCATTACTGTTGTTCTAAATTGTATTTTAAAGAGAACCAACAGGAAGCTCTGCGCGTGCACTGATGGGCAGGGAGAGGTCGAGACGGGCATAGGAGCGGGAGGTTTTTTTTTGAAAAGGAGTTAAGAGGCTGGGAAAGCATGAGACCAGGGAAATTGGGGTTCACGGGGGCCTAAGGATTAATATAGGCCTCACTTCATAATAGGAAGTTCGTAACTGTTCCCGGTGAAGAGTGAGGGAACGTGATTTACGGGACCACCGTAATAAAGTGGTAAAATTAGTGAATAATGGTAGGACCGGTGGTGACTGGTGCGACGCCATGGAGTGTTCCGGGGGAAAATACCCGTGATTTAATCATCACTCATCAGTCTCAGATCTTAATGGAGTGACCTCTAATGTGCATAATAAATTTGATTACATTAAATTGTCTTGTGAATTTGAATGTAATCAGTGATAATAACACTAAGTTAAAGAATGCGTGAAGTGAAATAGTCGCCTTGCTCCAAAGTGAACACGTTAGACCTCGTGGTTCCTGTCCCAAGGATAGTGAAGTTTTTATGGAGTCATGACTTGTAAACCGGGACAAACCAACAAATACCTCGTCCTGCTGGAATGAGAACCGTGTCGGTGAAAGCAGGACATCGACATGAGAGGGTGAATGGAGGAAAAAAGGAGTATTAATCACCCACAGTTAAGAACCCTTTTAGTTATAGCAGAACTGATACTGGCCAGTTAGGTATGTTGTAATTGGATAGGTTAGGGGTGTCCAGCTAACATCAAGTGACCACCAGAGAATATCTGGTAAGTGGTGGGATTATGTACACGTGTTTTTCCTTGATGGATATATCCATGTGTAACCTATCCCCCCTTCATTCAGTTAAACTAATATAATCTATATTGTCCACAATTAATTAGTAGGGAGGTACTTGTGGGTGCTATCCAATTCATACTGGTCTTGGATAGATATGGATAAGATTGTGAGATCGAAGGAACCACTTGCAGAGACCAGGAGTGGTTAAGTTTTCTCACATGTCTACATGGGGTGACTACGGTAAACAATATGGTTGTTGTCTCCCAATGAGATTACTTGTATGCATATAATGTTGAGGTACATGTAGGTAACCCCTATAAAATTTTCCCCTCTTCAAGGGGGGCTCCTTGGCGTGGTGAAGAGGCTCTTGGTCTGAGGAATTAGACCTATCGGTCTTCTTCCTCAGACCGAACCTAATTACCCCCCAATCTCCCCTCCCCTATCCCATCCTCCCCTTTTTCCTTTCCTCCTCCCCCTCCCCACCCCTCCCTTTTGCCCTTCCTCTTTTTGTCCTTTGGGATTTCTCCCACAGGCGCGCTAGTTCCTAGGTAGAGGAAAGGATACCGGGTCCATCCATTCCGTTGAGGTTCTTAGCGGTTGGGGTAGTTTTGCCGTGAATCTGGATCGCCTGGGGATGTCCGATCCCTCCCGGGATCCCGGGGTAGCTTTGGGGTCCCTTTTGGGAGACGAGTGTATCTCTGGAAGCCACCTTTCGATTCCGGGGGTGGTGGCCGAAGGAGGTATGCTTTGGGGGCGGATATCCGGCCGCCCTCTCTTTGGGCCACCGAGGTAGCTCGGCAGATGTGGGTTGCTATCCCGGATTGTTAGTTTACTACATGATGGGTAGGGTATGGCACGGGTTCCATGCTGCATCTGCGCTACTTGCGGTGCTGAGGTCCTCTTGGGCGCGGAGGGAGATTTCTGGCCCTTTCATTCCTCCTAGGACCTATCCCTCCCCGGTCCCCCCTTTTTTTTTCTTTTTTTTTTAATTTTTTTTTTTCTTTTCTTCTTTCTTTTTTTTCTTAAAAACAAAAAGAAAGAAGTAACCTAACCATGGCAGCCCTAGTCCATGAACCTGGTACCCCCGGGCCCCTTCTTGATACTGCACACGTTGACCCTGCCTCGTTTCCCT